AACCCTTACTTCCAGATTTTTCCATCACTCTTAACAGAAATCCTCTGTGGTTATTCTTACAAGAATTACTGAGAGAGAATTTGTCCTGGCTTTTGACATAGGTTTACAGTACAAACAGGCCACAGGCAGCAAGCTCTGGAGTATGTTAAACCAATCATATCTTTCTTTTAGCCATGACAATGTCAAGACAAATAAATAAACCTTGCATGATAGCCTCTAAATTAGGAACTTCTTTCCTAAGTTTGGAAATATTCAAGCATCACATTAAACACACAAGTAGCTAAATGTTATTCTATCAATAAAGGTTATTTTTGCTGGAAACATCAGAGTAGTTGATTTTAAATTGGAACAGGTAGAATTTCAAAACTATGTTCCGAAATCAGAACACACTATGATAAAATTAGGCTGGGTTCCATTAGATCAATTCTGAAAACTAACGAAAATTATGAGAAGTCTTAAAAAAGAAGGTGTCTGCAGTGTAAAGGATAGTTTTTACACCTTTCTCACCATGGTCTTTTAGCTCCTACAAAATAATTGGGAGGGGGGATGTAAATAGGATGCTTGTGGGCCACCAAACAAGTTGCTAATAATGAAAATATGGTACATGGCATCCTTGGGGGTGGGGCAATGCAAATGAGGTACATGAAACCCTAAAAGGGAATTAGTTCGTTTTGTCATACTGCTGTGCTTTAAAAAGAACCAATCACAGAGCAGAGGCAGGTCACACTACCACCAAGAAAGAAGAGCTGGAAGTGGAGTGCTTCCTTTGGACCTAGGATCTTGGGCTGAAAGTCAGAGAGGAAGATGACAAGGAGAGTGCGAAGCAGATGCACAGAAATGGTGCAGCAGAGTCAGCAGAACCGGGAGGTCAGCAGCACATGACATGGTAGATTTCTAGCTCATGCAATGAGAAAGCTGAGTGCTATCAGCTGAGGCTTACAGGTGGAGTGGTGTGCCCCTAAAGAACTTTATAACCCTTGTCCAAGCAGGATGGAGGCCAGTCTAGCTCAAGGGCCAAGGGTCGGGGAAAGGGCTGCCTGTGGCCATGGTCACGAAGATGTTCCTGAACAAAGAAGTATATCCTCAGTTGTTCCTGATCCTGAATTATAATCTGTTACTTCCCTATTAGCCCATGACCATGAGAACTGTCTACTCTATGAGTTGAGTGAGGTCAGTGCAACAAATGATCACATGCAGTACAGAAGTACAATGCTTCTTTTCCATTGCCCACTCTCTTAATTCTCCTCATCTGGGAACAGTATATAGTTTAAGGATTAGGCATTTAGTCTTTGGCATCTGCCTGTGTGGCTTCAACTTCTGATTCTACCCCTTCATGTGTCACTTGGGCAATTGGTGCCTCAGTGTTCTTATCTGTAAAATAGGAATAATAACAATAATAGAGCTTGCCTCATTGGGTGGGTGTAAGAATGGATGGCATTAATACACATAAATTACTTGTAATTGTCTAGCACATAATGAGTCCTATATAAAAGCTATTGTAGTTGTTGGTGTCATTGAGTTGATTTTGACTAATAGTAACCTAATATGACAAAGTAAAGCTACTTCATAGGTTTTTGTTGTTGTTGTTTGTTATTAAACTTTTTTATTGTGAACTGAGTGCAGGCTTACAGACAAGAGCATTAGTTTCACATTACATTATCAATTATTGCAATCTCCTCCTTGGAATGTTGTTTATCCCTTTTCCTTTCTTGTGGCTCCTGTTTCCATTCCACCTACCTTCCCATCCCTTCTTAACCTTTGTCCTTAGGTACATGTTGCCCCTATGATTTTGAATGATTGGCTGTTCTATCCTTAATAATGAGCATGCCTTACTAGTGGTGTTCCTGCTATATAATGATCTGCTTGGCTGAAAGTTGAGCTATGAGTGTGAGTTCCTTTCCAGACCTGAAGGGTGGTCTAGGGCCATAGTCTCAGGTTTCTGGCCAGTAAGTCCATTTTTGTTTTTGTTTTTGTTTTTAATAATTTTGAGTTTTGTTCCACACACGTTCTACCACTCTATCTAGGACCTTCTAATGTTATCTCTTTCCGAGCAGTTGGTAGTGGTAGCTGGGCACCATCTAGTTCTGGTCTCATAGTCGTAGGGACTGATGTTCACTTTGGACTAAGAGATTCCAAGCCTCTTCAATTCTCAACATTCTTTTGTCTTCTGCACCTGGAGAGACCAGTTGCAGCACCCTAGATGGCTGCTCATGAGATTTTAATGCCCCAGATGTTACTCAATAAAGTAGGATGTAGAATATTGCTTTTGTAGACTATGTTATGCCAACTGACCATGGTGTCTTTATAGGGTTTTCTTGGCTAATCTTGATAAAAACAAATCACCAGGCCTTTCCCCAAGGAGCCAGTCGGTGCTTTCGAACCATCAACCTGTTAGTTAGCAACCAAATGCTTAAACATTTTGCAACCACAAGGTTGGTAGTTTGAGCCCACCAGCTGCTCTGCAAGAGAAAGGTGAGACTTCCTGTTCCTGCAAAAACTTACAACCTCAGAAACCCTGTACAAGGTTGCTGTGAATCAGAAATGACTCCTCAGCACTTAGCAACAGCGCAGCATAATATTGTTATCATGTTAGTCTGAAGTTATTACCTACTTTCTTCTAGAATGTGATGACCTTTAAAAGTCAGCTGCATGTTTCAAGAATTGATGGTCATAATCTTCTTTATCCCTCCCTTTCAGTTATTCACACCCTCCTATTTCTCAGAATTCCTTAGGAAAAGTTCATCTTTCCTAGCTCCTCAGATTTAATCTCCAATGAGCTCTCAATTTAGAGGTTATCTATACTTTGTTTATGGTCCAGAATTTGATATAGTCATATTCCCCAAACTGAGGTTCTGCTTGCTTTTTATTGTTTTTTCCTCCCTCATGGCTTTTAAAAGTCTTCCCACCCAAACTCTCTAAGTCTTCCAACTAGTGTTCAGCAAATTAAGTGTTGATGAATATCTGGAAGGGTAATCTCAAATCCTCATGGTTCCACAAACATTTTGAACCTAAGATGTAATAATGTTAGGGTGATAGCAAGAAGAATTTTTCAGCCTTAGAAAGCAATCCTAACTCACAGGCAGATTATTTGGTAACTTCCTCTAAAGAGGAATTTCAATGTTGTATTTACGTTTAAATATTTACATATCAAGGATAAGGACCCTAGCTAGATACATGACTCACCAGTATTTTTTTTAATGTCATGTATTTGGCTAGAAATGGAAATTAAGGGTTGGAGGAGTGATAAATTATGGGGGTATCTGTGAGTGTCTCCTCTTTAAAATGCAAGAGAGTGTGTCCACATGAGCAGTCTTCAAGGGAAGCGCTAGAAGAGCTGGAAATGAATCCTAATTCAGCCATCGACTCAGAGTTCATACTCTTCAATCCTTTAGTTTGGGTAAGCATCAACTATCTAAGTCTGTAATAGAAATTTTCCCACATATATAATAAGAAACATATTGACAATTTAGAGGAAATGAAGTTTCTTAAAGTATATTAAGGATTGTTGTATCTAATTGCTGTATTTCTATATTCCATCTTAGTTCCATCCCTATGCACACACACCCTTTTTTTAAATGGAAAAAAAAAGAAGGTATGGCTAAATTATGTCATTATTTTTCACAGACCTTCAACTATTCTTCGAAAGCCTCCTGACTTGGCAACAGGCTGAGACTGTGTTAGATTACAGTGTAGGTGCTATTTTAAACAATGCTTTGATTCTGAAGTTGCTTTGTGATGCATGGAGCTGTGGGATATAGCACTGGACCACAACGTCTGTTTGAACCACAAGGTCTGAGGCTCAAACTCACCAGCTACTCCTTGGAAACCCTATACAGGGTTGCTATGAGTCAGAACTTACTCGATAACACTTAAGAACAACAGTTGCATGTGTACCTGTGTGTGTGTGTGTGTGTGTATGTGTGTGTGTTGTGAGCAGGCATGTAGTTGCCAGGCTGTGAAGATGTCTGTATCTTTATATTAGCAATGATAATATTTTCTTTCAAAAGGACTTATTGAATTTATGTTTTTATCTTTTTTACTTTTGAAAAAATATCACCTCATTTTTTTCCCCTCTTAATTTAGCTTCTCATGAAGTTCTCATGAAAGTTGTGAAATGTAACTTGTGAAATTGCGTGAGCATTGTGAGACCTACATGGCCCAAATGTTCAATAAGGATCAATGCCTGTTTCATGATGCTTATCTGAAATCCTGCTGTTACACTGATTTGGTACTTAGTAGATACTGCTGACTGATTAGTTTTCCTGGGAGGTGTTGAACTTGTGAAAATTACGGCTCATCATCAATGGTGTGCTTGTGGCTTTTTATGATTTAATTGTTCAGTAGACTATACTCTGGATTCTTCTTTCCTCCTTTGAACCTAAGGGAGATTCAGTCGTGTTCTAGAAGAGATCTGCATCATTAAACTGGAGTGTTGCCAACACATATTCTTTGGTGACAAGCTGACAATGCGACATTGGATCTTGACAATTCTAATACTTCTCTTAGATTTGAAAGCAGCTCATCTTAGTAAGTACTGCTTTTCAATTTAATTTTTCTTATCTTTTAAGTAAATCCAAGAGTATATGACTTGTCCTAAGCTGCTTGCTTCCAACTCTGCCAGCCAAATTGTAAACCAGAAAGTTCCCTTTTGATCTAGTCTTCACAAGTGTATCAGAATGTCAATTTTACATATTTGAATATGTCAGCATTTGTTGATCGACACGTAATTTAGTTAGACAGATATGGTTGTTATTACACTAGAACTATACAGGAGACTCAGGTCCATATTCATTCATGAATTGTGGTGGTACATAATAGAACATTTCATAAAAGCTTTTAATTATTCATTTATTCATAATTATTCATTTATTTGTTCTCAGTTTAAGCATCACAAAGCATGACCAATTTCTAAACTGAATTGTAGAAGGCAACATTTCAAATATATGAATTATGATCATTTTGTTTTATTATTTTTTGCAGGTCACGAACGCTTGGGCCTGGAAAATGAAGCTTTGATTATCCCATGTCCTCGAAACCCAAACTCTGAGTTCCCGGTGTACTGGTATTACTCCAGAACAAATGAAAGTATTACCACTCAGAAGAGATATCGTGTATTTGCCTCAGGAAATCTTCTGAAGTTTCTACCCACGAAAGTCGAAGATTCTGGAATTTATACTTGCATCATCAAACGGTATGATACAGACAGTCTCCATAATCATAGGACCTACTCCCTTCTTTGTACACTTGATCATCTGTGAAGCCCTTCACATTCCTTCTTTTCTATTCCTTTTTGGAAGAATTAAATTTATAAGGTGGTTTGAATAAAAGAATATGCTTTGAAATATCATCAGGTTGGAATTTAGGTGATTATAAGCTAACTATTTTTTGAGGTTAGTTTGTAGCATAATTTTTGTTGTGTTGTTGTTAAATGCCATAAAGTCAGTTCCAACTCATAACAACCCTGTATAGGGTTTCCAAGGAGCAGTTGGTGAGCTTGAACCACTGAACTTGCGGTTCAAAGTGACCTTGAGTCCAGTGCATTAACCTGCAGTGCTACACAAAAGACTAATGCTTTCTGGTGGTCAAGAGAAATAGGGCAATTCTTCACTTTTGACTAGAAGTACCGACAAGCTAGCACAAAATATAGTAACCTAGATGTTTCACTTCAAGGAAGCCTACGGTGGGTGACAAAAAGAGAGGCAGATATCAGTCCTTAAGCCTTTGTTGTTGTTGTTGTTAAGTGTTGTTGAGTCGGTTCCAATCCATAGTGACCCTTTATAGTGTTTCTGAGGAGCAGCTGGTGAACTTGCACCACCGAACTTGCAGTTCAAACCAAATTTGTAGTCCAGCACATTAACCCACAGCACCACACAAGGACTTAGAGTTAAGCTAAAGAAGGTTACATGAGATTCTTGCCAATGACTAACTTTTTATATAAACTGCTAAGTGTGTTGAGGTGGCACCCATATTTGGTTCATACAAAATGCACACAAAGTATATCATCAGGAAGTTCAATACCCTGGTTCTGTGGTCAGACAAGCTCAGATTTAAAATCTGTGCTCTGACATTAGTTAGCTGTGAGATGCTGGCATGTTACTCCTTTACCTCTCAATTTCCTCATCTATAAAATAAACGCAATATAATCTATCTCAAATGGTTGTCTTGAGGGGAAAAAATGAGGTAATGAAGGAAAGGTACCTATCACTATGACTGTACATGGTAAACTCTCAATATATGTTAGTTATCTCCTTTAATGCTTGCTAGGGTAGCACTGTAGGATAAGACTTGATTGCAAACCCACCAGTGACCCTATACAGGGTCTCTATGAGTTGGAACTGATTTGATGGCACACAACAATAGTCTTCAATATACTGTGTTTGTGGTATTATAGAAGACATCAGAATTTGAAGAAATGATCAGAGAGTCGATTTTAGGGCTACTCTGGTAGCTTAGTGGTTACGAATTGGGCTGCAAACTGCAAGGTCAGAAGTTTGAAACTACCAGCTGTTCTGTGGGAGAAATCCTGTAAAGATTTACAGCCTCAGAAACCCTGTACAGGGTCACTATGAGTTGGAACCGACTCCAAGGCACTTAACAACAACAACAACATGGGGCTTATGGAGTCCTGGTGGGGCGCTGTGGGTTAATGTGTCAGACTGCAAAGCCGTTTGAACTGCAAGGTCGGTGGTTCAAGTTCACCAGCTGCTCCTCGGAAACCCTATACAGGGATGCTATGGGTCGAAACCGACTCGATGGCACTTAACAACAACAACAACAAATGGGGCTTGTGCCATGGATTTTGCCATGGGCTGCCAAAAGAATCAACAGACCTATGTTGGAAGAAGTGCAGCCAGAGTGCTCCTTGAAGACCAGGATGGCCAACCTTCATATCTCATAATCTGGACATATTGTCAGGAGGGATCAGTTGCTGGAAAAGGATATCATGTTTGGTAAGGTGAAGGGTCAGAGAAAAAGAGGAAGACCCCCAGCAAGATGGGTTGGCAAAGTGGCAGCATCAATAGGCTCAAGCATGGCAACAATAGTGAGACTGGCCCCCGACTGAGCAGTGTTTCATTCTGTTGTAACAGGGTCGCTATGAGTCAGTACTGACTTGAAGGCACCTAACAACAACAACAACAATGGGACTTATGTCTTATCTCAAAGTAAAAATTAGAGTATTTGAAAAGCCTGATTTTAATGATAATTTTTTAATCAGAGGATAATCACTATGTATCATGACTTTAAGATGATAAGCAAAATTAACTGAAGGCTAACGTTGATTAAGTTGTTTCATAATATTAAGTGACTGTAAAAAATTGTCTGACTTATTTTAACAGTCCCAATTCCAGCTTGACTAGATCTGTGAATCTCACAATATATAAAAAACAACCAGATTGCATTATTCCTGATGAGCTGATGTATTCAACGGTATCTGGAGTAAGAGCGTATTCCCAAATATTTTGTCCTACAGTTAAACTTTACAATTGGACAGCACCACTTGAGTGGTTTAAGGTAAAAATAACTTTTAGATAAATAAAAGGAAATTGCCCAATTAAACTCCCAAGTAAACTATCAATGAACATGGAATGGACTTTTTCATTTTAGAATTGTAAACCTCTTCAAGAATCGCGGTACTACAGATCCGAGGCAAGTTTGATTATTAAAAATCCCAGTGTTAGCGATTCAGGTGATTATACATGTAAGCTTATACACAATGAAAATGGGATCAATTATACTGTGACAGCAACCAGAACATTTTTATACAAAGGTAAGTTACTTCATTTAACAAATAAATTATTTGCAAAAAGTTAAATGGGAACAATTTCCCCTTCTCGTTGATTTTTCCGCACTTTGTACTTTTCACTGTTGCTTCTGGTTCTACTTTATCTTACATATTCTCTACTCTGGCTCAAGTGTTTTGTTTTGTTTTGCTTTAAGTGCCTTTTCGAGGTTAGCATGAGAGGAGATACTGCTACTAATCTTAAACCACATCTGTTATTTCTCCTATGATTTAATTTTTCAAAGTTAAGTAGATTTCCATGCTAACTCAATTTAATTATTTTGAAAGGCAGTAGAAAGCTACTTGCAGTTCAAACGGCTTTGCAGTCTGGCGCAATAACTGCAAGGTTGGCGGTTCAAGCTCACCAGCGTCTCCTTGGAAACCCTATACAGGGTTGCTATGGGTGGGAACCAACTCGACGGCACTACACAACTACAACAACAGAGCACCTTGCCTAGTGAAAGTAGCTCCCCTTTTCCGGAATACAATGCCAGAGGCTCTTTACATAGAAAAAGCAATATTTTCTAATGTATAGGATTGGAGACTTAATGAAAGCTTTCCGTGGAACGCAATGGTTTGCGGTGCTTACAACATCACCATAGATCATTCTGTAAACAACAGCAACAAAAATTCAAATGTACTTTAAATTCTATAAAAGCCTTTTTAGGAGAAAGATTCCACAGTCATAATGTATGGTTGGGATCTTCTTTGCATATCCTGGTCTGTAGACACAGATATAAACCAGTGGTGCCTGTAAATTTCTTATGATAAAGCAATATTGGAGAAAGGATTATGTGTGGAACTTTTCAAGGCTCCACCTTTGTAAAGGAAGCATCACCAGCCCATATTTCTATGTGAGTGTTTCACTGCTTAATGCCAACCCCACAGTGGCCCTTGATCACACCATCCTGGAATAAATGAGCATCAAGGGAGTACTCTAACAAGCCCCCCTTCACTCTGGACCTCAATGGTAATAGAAGTTATAATGACTTGAGATGTCGAGACTTCTCATACTGAGGATGGGTCACCAACAGAGAAGTACTCTGAACAAGAACACTGTGGACTCATGAATTTCTCATTTCCATGCGTCTTTTGAAACTTTCTTCTCTGGTGTGTTATGTTGATTCTGAGTTGTGCTTTTCAAATAATTAATTTAGTGGCTGGGATCAGCATTGATTTTAATGACACAGAATATCAGAGCACATCATAAGTATTGTGTAAACATTGTGTCATGTGTATGTATTTGTTGCCATCGGTCATTGCCAGAAATTTTTGAGAATTTTTCCTATGAAATAGGATAGAGCTTTATATTGATAGCTATCCAATGGTGCCCTAATGTTCTTTTATTTTCTTTTTGTGTTTCAGAAGGTAACATCTTACCTTTGGTTCCAGTCATTATTGCCCCTTTGCCCAATGACACAAAGGAAGTAGAAATCGGTAAGGAAACCTTTAAGAATGCTGTAAAAATTGCCTGAAAGATCCTCTCATAGGGTCCATGGTCTGAATTCTGCTAGAAGTGGGCCCCAACGATCACAGTGGACCTTTGGGATTAAGTGAGGTGACATGTGTGACAACTGACCCAGACAGTTGTTAATATGAGTATTGACCAGTCATGGGACATGAAGTGTTTACAATTTTGTATTGTACTCTGTAATTCTTACAGATTCTACATATGGGACCTCACTGAGTTTTCACTTCTCTCCATGAGGCAGATACTACTCCACTTTACACCTGGGGAAATTTAAGCTCAAGAAGGGTTCAGTGACGTGCTTAAGATCATAAACAAAAGATAGAAGGACGAATGTCCAGACTTTCTAATTCATTCTGTCTCTCAGTTCACTAGTTTCTCACTACAAAGAGGATGCAACTTAAAGTTCTTAACATGCAGAGCTAGTCCCTTTATGACCTACTCCTTACCACCCTCATAACCCATCTGCAGTCATTAACCCCTTGCACCCTCTGCTTCCATGGTACCAACTACCTCAGAATTATATTGACATGCAGTACTTTGTACATTCTTCTCTAATTTCCTTCTTTATAAACTTCCAAGACTAATTTAAAATATTACAGCCTCCGGAAAATCCCCCTCTACCACCTTTCTTCCTTACCAGATAGCCCAGATAAAGCTTTTGCTCACACCACTCTAGGGCACTACTTGTATACTCCCTACAGTGATCTTTCCATGTCAGAGCACAGACCAACCCAACCAGATGCCATAGAGTTGATTCTGACCCATAAGGACCCCATATGTGTCAGAACACACCTGGATCTCAATCCACAAGGATTTCAATGGCTGTTTTACAATAGATCACCAGACCTTTTTTTCCCAAGTGCCTCTGGGTGAACTCGAACTGCCAACCTTTGGGTTAGCTGTCCAGTGTATTAACCTTTTGCCTACTGTCTTAGTTATCTGGTGCTTCTATAAGAGAAATACTACTAATGGATGACTTCAATGATCAGAAGTTCACTCTCTCAGTTTAGGAGGCTGGAATTCAGAGTACCGACTCTGGGGAAAGTCCCTATTTCCTTTCAGCATCTGTAGGCCCAGCATTCCTTGAAGACCTGCTGTGTCTTGACATTAATCATTCCCTGGATCTAGGAGCTTCACAGTGTAGGAACTCCAGGTCCAAAGTACACACTCCATTCCTAGCTTTTCTTTCTTAGTGGCAGCAGGTCCCTATTTCTCTAATCAACGTCTTGCTGCTTTTATCTCTTGTAAGATAAAAGGCTGTATGCTCCACCCTTAGGAATCTCCTATAGTGGTTGTTGTTGTTGTTAAGTGCCCTCGAGTCAGTTCCGACTCATAGCGACCCTGTACAGGGTTTCCGAGGGTGTAAATCTTTACGGGAGTAGAAAGCCTCATCTTTCTCCCGCGGAGCGGCTGGTAGTTTCGAACCGCTGACCTTAAGGTTCGCAGCCCGATTCGTAACCACTACGCTACCAGTGGTAGGATGGTGAATTAGGATACGCACTGGACTACTAACCACAGAGTCAGAGGTTCAAACCCACCAACAGTTCCTTGGAAACCCTACACAGGGTAACATGAGTCAGAACTAACTCAAGGGCACTTAACAACAATAATTCCACCCTTAATTCTATTATTGGTTTATCACATTAGATCACGCCATGGGAGATCATCATACCTGCCAAACTACTTAGAATCATGATGCAGCCAATGACACATATTTTAGGGGGCACAATGCAATCCATGACACTCACCCAAGTACTCCCATAGTACGTATACCTTGTCTATATACTTCTATCTGAACACTAGAAGGTCTCGTGTTCTAATTGTTTATAACGATGTTACCCCCAATAGACTCCAAACACCTCAACCCTCCTTAGATGTCTACATTTTAACACAGTTCCTGACAGAAACCAAGGACTCCATTAAATGATGTCCAATGCATGAAAGCAGCTGTTAAGCTTTCAAGTCTGAAAGGAGAAAGTCTCAAGTTAAAAGTTTTGGGATGGCGAGGTCTCTGTCTAGATGCTTTAGTACATCTGGGACAGGCTTTCTGAGCCTCTTCTATATTCTCCTGAAGTCATAAGCAGTTTTACCTTCAAATGCAGCTTATGGAGACAGAAAACAAACAAACAAACAAACAGTACCAGTAGGAAGGCGTGGGAGACAGCTACTTAAGAGAAATTCAATGTACAGCAATGAGAAATTCTATATTGTAATGTTGGGTGCCTGCCTCATTAGTTTGTCCTGCAGGGGAGAGGAGAGAGCTGAGCTTCAAGCCTACGTGTGAGTGAAATTAAGATACTGAGGAAAGGAGGCAAAGTAAAGTCATAGAAAGATGAAGGCTCTAGAGATGAAGAAGGAAATGGGAATCAGTGTTGGGCACTCATTATGTGTTCAACCATTTTTTTCACTTTAAGTTAAATTAAATTCTATTTGCATAATTTCTTTTTATCACTGGATTTTATTTACTTCCCATCTAGAAGAAACAGTAAGCATCACTTGCTTTGCTTGCATGGGGTTAGGTCATCAGATCCTGGCTTCAGTCAACTGGCGAGTCAATGGGCATGACATTAAAGGTGTTGGTGAAGCAAGAATTTATCAGGAGGAAGTGCAAAATAAAAGGTAGCTTTATGTTAACATTATAGCATTCACTTTCCTTCACAATTTTCAACAGAAATGCAAGCAATAAAAGTAACGAGTGTTTTTTTTTAGTCCTAGAAATGGGTCATTTTGTCTAAGAAGGATTTTGAGAATAACCACTGTGAAGGAAAAAGATTTATCACTGAAGTTTGATTGTCTGGCTCTTAATGAACGCGCTATCAGGATACACACTGTAAGACTAAGGAAAAAAAATCCAAGTAAGAAGTGTTCTTAAGACTTTTGCCACCTGAGTTTGCTATATCAACTTTAGGCTTGTGAGAAATGTTGTCAGTACTGACAAACGTTCAAGTAATCCAATCTGTACTCATTTTAGTGAGAGAGAGATTTTCTTTATTCCGTTTTGCAAAATTGGGTTCCCAACCTCGTAGACATGGGCAAACAGGCCACATGGCCAACCCACAAACAATTTTATTCCCCAGTCTTGAAAAGGCCCCTCCTCCAGCTCCCTTCTACTGGGTATTACAAGGTCACAATCTCCTCCCAAGGTTGCCTACTAGTCAATTTCCCCCTTTCCCCATGAGCTTCCCCTATTTCCTTGATGCTTGTATTGTTATTTTTAAAGTTCCTAGTCTGTCAAACTAGTTCTTCCCCTCCACTGAGCTCCTTTTGTTACTGAGCCTGCTATCCCCAAGACTTCTCTTAGTCCTGAAGATGGACCACGCCAACAAGTTATTTCTCACAGGCTGGAATTATTTTCTTTGAGAAAATTGTTTTGGAGTCTGGATCCAGAGGAACCATTCAAACATTGTGAAGGGTTCATCTCATAAAATGTACCTTCCCTTGTGAACATATTTACTATTTGTGGTATGGCTCATCCCTTTTTCAGCTAGTGAAAACCATGATTGTTTAGACCCTTCGTCTCTGCAGTATTACTTTCCCCTTCTTCTGTTGGTTTCTCTTCAACGTTTTCCTCGGCCTTCATTCAGCTTTTCAACTTTCTTAGCTCTCTGTCTCATTTTATGTCAAAGAAAATGCATCAACAAGAGAAACTGTGAACCTACTATTTTGTTCTTAACCCCTTTTATATGTTGTATGTGTGTGTCGTAATGAATACATGTTTCACTAGTGAGGCTGGAAAAGTGGATGAAAAGGTGAAATACTTAGCTACTGCCCATTCCAGCAAGAAAACCTTAGGTGCTACTTGATAATAAGCAAGACAGTATCATTGTTTAACCTCATAAATTATTGAAGTTCAGGGGGAATTTATGTGAGCTTTGGTAACTCGACTCATTTCTTCATTGTGCTCGATTTACAATTTGTGCATCAGGTACTACCTAATCCAGGGAGACTTCCTTGACTACCAGTTTGAGGGCCCATCTTCTTCTGCGTACTCCTACTGTTGTTGTTAAGTGCTGTCAAGTCAGTTCTGATTCATAGCAACCCTGTATAGAGTTTCCATAGAGCGGCTGGTAAGTTTGAACCGCTGACTTTGCTATTCAACTGACCTTGTGGCCCAGTACATTATCCTACAGAACCACACCAGGACTCTGTGTAGTCCTGTTTCTAAGTTGCATAATGCTTGGTAGTCTGCTCAACATGTTCGTAAGCTCCCTGAGGATGAAGGTGGCATTGATCCATCTCCTTACCCTCAGACTATAGAACAGTGCTTGGCTGATAGCATAAGCTCAACAAATATTTGCTGAATGACTAAACTAATGAATGCACATCAGTACCATCAAGAAAACATTATTTCTTTACATGTCTATTTATCTGACTAAAAGGCTTACTTATAAGAACAGAGCAACATTTCATATTTATGTCTGGTAAGTTGAATTATTTTCCCCATACATTGGCAAGACCAAATTGGCTTATAGCTTCCCTGTATTTTGCCTAAACCTAGTATGAATTTAACTTGACATAGTAAAATATAGTTTGCCAAATTTTTTAACTCAATACTCTTCAATGAATTCTACTACTTTTTAAAATGCAATATATTCCTTCAGGAATGATTGTAGTTTACTCAGTTGAAATGAGTTCTTTGACCTAGGCTTTTTTTCCTTTTTCTTTTATAAAACTGCTTTAGAGATTTTCTCCTAAACCCTGAGGAATGACTTTTGCTCTAGTCTGTACCCCCTGAGGGCTTATTACTTTTGTCTGGGTTGATTGATATTTTCTGGGTAAATTGTGAACAACGTGATTTGATTATTTTTATTTGATCCTGGGCTGCAGCCTGCCCTGTGATTGATATGCAACTTGCTAGGATTAGTCAACAGACTATGAAAATAAAGTGCCAGTGGTTTACTAGGGGACCCTCCTTGGGAGGAAGATGAGGCTGTCTGCTCCTGCGAAGATTTAAATCCTGGGAAACCCTATTGGCCCAGAGGGAATTGGGCAGTTCCTTAATGCCCTGGTGGCAAGCCTATACCGTGAAATGACTGAGAAGTTTCTGCATGTACACAGCCTGCCCCACAGAGGTTTTTGTAGACAGGAAACTGGAAGAAGCAAAAAGGAAAAAAAAAAGGCAAGGAAGACAAAGCAGAAAGAAAGGGGGCAAGGATCCTACTAAAAGAACTGTAACCCAAATCAAGGCCTGTAATACTGAATTAGGCAACAGGCCTGGAAGGGGTGCTACAGCAGATTTAATGATGGGGAGGGTAACAGTCCTAAGGGACTAAAAGGAGCCTGCAGTGGGCTGAGAGGAAGCCTTCAAAGCTAGGAAGAGTTAGTCCTGAATTGCAAAAGGAAGATTTTGCCTGCCAATTTTCTGCTCCTGCTCCTGAATTGTAGCCTGTTACTTCCTGGTTGCTGCTGTAGATAAGCACTAGACTGCAAGGTTGATTTGAACTGCAAGGTAGAAGTTCAAACCCACCAGCCCTCCTCGGAAACCTTTTACAAGTTTGCTATGAGTTGGTGTGGTAGTTGTTGTTGTTAAGTGCCGTGGAGTCAGTTCCAACTCACAGTGACCCTGCACATGGTTTCCGAGGCTGTAAATCTTTACGGGAGCAGAATGCCTCATCTTTCTCCTGTGGAACCGCTGGTAGTTTCAAACTGCTGACCTTGAGGTTGGCAGCCCGACTTGTAGCCACTACGCCACCAGAGCTCCTTGGTGTGGAGCTGGGGTGTGGAGCTGTGGGTTAATGCGCTGGACTGCAAAATCGGTTTGAACCACAAGATTTGTGGTTCAAGTTCACCAGCTGCTCCTTGGAAACCCTATACAGGGTCACTGTGAGTCGAAACTAACTCAATAGCACTGAACAACAACAACGCTTTCTTAATAAAGTACTTAACTGTAAGTGTGGTCTGTAAATTCTGTGGGTCACTGCAGTGAGTTATCAAACCTAGAGAGTGCTGTACAAAATGTGAAGAATGGAGCTATGCCTGACCTCCACTCATAGGGGTCAGCCTTGAGTGATCTTGATTTGTACTGTCCCCACTGCAATTAGACTGGTTCTCAAATTAATCCTACTATTATTCCTTCCATTTCATATGCACTAAGACAAAGTTCTGTTGTGGCACTGTGGGTTAATGCGCTGGACTTCAATGTCAGTTTGAACTGCAAGGTCAGTGGTTCAATCTCACCAGCTGTTCCTCAGAAACCATATGGGAACCAACTCAAGAGCACTTACCAACAACCAGGAAAAGTTGCTGCCCTGGGTATCTTGTCAGTTGAGACTTTAAAAGTAGTAATAAAACTATCTAAAAGTCATTGTGCTCTGTATTCTCACTGTACCCAGACAATGTTAAGTAGGGTCTGTAGTGAAATTCTCCTCCCTACAAGGACAGACTGCTTCTTCTTCCCTCTGCTCCCAGTGTGTGCTTCAGGCACTACTATGACAGAAGGTAACTTGACAAGTCGTTTTGTTCCTGAGAATTTGTAGATGTTCCCACTAGTTCTTTGAGTTTCCATGCAAAGACATCCTGTTTGTTAGATGAAGCATTTGTTTGCAGATAAAAGAGCTAGAAAGGAAATTTTCATTTGTGGGACTTCAAAAATGTGTGGGAAAATTCCATTCTCTTTTCAGTCCATTTTCCCACAATTTTTTGACGTACCCTTGCGTTATTATATTTTACACTCTCCACTCTTTTTAGTAAACTTACAATTTTTTAGTGTTGTTAAGTGACATCAAGTCATTTCTGACTTATAGCAACCCTGTACAGGGTTCTGAGGAGCAGTTGGTGAGTTTGAGCCACCGACCTTGCAGTTCAAACCAACCTTAGGTCAAGTGCATATGTATCCTAAGGCGCCACATCAGGACTCCTATGTAGAACTTATTTAATGTTGTTAAGTGCCATCGAGTTGGTTCCAACCTTGTAAAGGGTTTCAAAGGACCAGCTGGTAGGTTTGAACCACTGACCTTATGGTTAGCAGTCCAATGATTATCCTACAGTGCCACACATCAGGACTCCAAAGACTATAAAGAACTTTTCCAACAGATTGTCCCATTTGTTGTTGTTGGTAAGTGCTGTCAAGGAGATTCCAACTCTGAGTAACTCTGTATAGGGTTTCCAAGGCTTTAAATCTTCATGGGAGCAGAAAGTCTAAGTTTCCTCCCACAAAGTGGCTCAAATCACGGACTTTGTGTTTCCAAGACCAATGCTTGACTTAGGGAGCTACGTACTTTTCAAGTAAACCAAGGGAGGGTTAAGTGTTCAGTTCATCCTCACAAGTGCAACATAGCCTAGATGAATTTGAATAAATACACAGAAGTACAATATAATGAAAAATAATTACGGGTGAGGAGCAAATACAACATCGTTTGGATATGGTCATTGTGCATCTCTTCCTGAGGGGGTGCTGCTGATTTTTCTTGTTTAAATTTCGACTTTAATTCTTGATTTATAAACTTTTTTCTTGTTATCATTGTGTTCAATGATGACAATCCATTCTATGGAACAACAGCTGTGCTTCCTCCCTGTGTCTCCTCTTTTCCTTCCACCCACTTTCCCATCCCTTCTCACCATTGTCCTTAGGTACATGTTGATGTTGCCCTTTGATTTTGAATGAATGGCCACTCCTTCATTCATAGTAAGCATCTCTTACCCTTGTTCCTCTGTATACATATCTACTGCTTGTCTGAAACAGGGTGTGTTCCTGTCCAGACCTGATTGGTGGTTGAGGGCCACAGTCTCAGGTTCTGCCTGTCTCTTTCTGACCAATGTGGGAAACATTGTTGATAGTCCAGATACTGCCTTGGTTCCTCTAGGTTATGAGGTCATCCATGAGTTATCACAAGTGCTTACCAACAAATGCTCAGAA